AATTTCTAGAAAAGTGATCAACATATTAAAAATTCTAATAAGTTTTGTTATTTAGAAACCTTTCAGTAAGGTAAAACTAGAGAATTTTTCATCTTTTTTTTCCCCAACAATATTGACATTTATTGTTCCACAACCCCAACACTATTAATAACAAATCAGCACCTACAATAGCACCTAAGATATTTATATATAATCATATCAATCTCTAATATTCAATGCAAAAACATTACCCATTTTTTTTAAAAAGCAGATATTTTGAACACTTTCCAATCACATAAATTCGTTCATCAAAAAAAATTAAAGTTACTTATGTTAAAAAACTAGATTTCACAACAGATGAGTTTATGCCAAAATCAATTTTACAGAGTTCACCATAAGAAGCAGTGAAGCAAATTTCTCATAATCTGTGTAAACAGAAATAGCTAAATTAATTGATGTCATTATTGGGGCCATCCAGGAGTTATAAATAAGGGCGAATATAGAAAACACACTGATTGCATAAAATGGATAATTAGCATGAGGTCAAAACAGTCCTAACTATCCTTTCAACATACTTACAAAATATTTTATACATTTTCATTTGTTTTCCTATGAGAATGGAATATACTGTCAATCTAAAATTATACAATTTATCACAGTTCTAGGAGTCATAATCTTATTGCTACATACATATCCCTTCTAAATTTTGGCTACTTCTTTAACTGCTCTTTGGCCTTTATTTTATTCCAGAATGGGTTGACTGTTAGTCTTCTCTTTATCTAGATATTCTGGGAAGTATCTATGTCATCTGATAGTCTATAAGCAATTTGGGATAATAGGTGATATCTAGAGGGCAAAATTTGGCATAGAATATCCAAAGGGAGAGTTATTTTAATACATGTCAGAAGTAATCAGGATAAGAGGGGAGAATAGATTATACAAGAGGAGAGAATTGAAAGCAATAGTAAATGGCTGAAAACATGATTGGTTACATGATCTTTAAGAATAAGGATATATAGATAAGTTACATTTATGTTGCTTGCATTTCCAATATGCAAATGCTCCTTCTTCTAACACCCATGATCAACTTTCCATCAATGCTTCAGTCTACCAGAAAATCCAGCATGACTGTATATTTTTGTTTGTGTACATGGAAGGGAGGGGGCTCGGTTTCACATTTGGTCTGCTATTAGAGCAGAGTTGTAGAGCCAAGAGCAGGAATCCACAATCACAGGTATACATCAGAACATAACTTCCCCTCAGTATGCTTAAGGAGAGCACAAGACCTTTCCTCAGATGTATTGAGTTATGAGGGAGAGTAGTTCAAACTTACCATGCCATCAGAAGGAAGTGTATCTCCAAGGATTTTGGAGAATAAAATACATAAATTTTGAGAAATGACAGATCAGAATTATAAAAGAATACTTTCCAAAAGTAAGCTTCAGTTCCCACATGCCCTTAAAAATGCAGCTTGTAAGGAGCGCCCCCTCTGTAAAAAGACACAATACTTTTGGTTCCAGTCATAATGAGTAGATTTTATTGAACTAACCCTTCAGTTAAAAGTAATTATAAAGCTGGACAAAATATGTGAAATAATTCCTTGAAGGCATTGAGAGCAATCAACTGAGGTAAGACTTGAATGGCTGTGATGCCTGAGGAAACAGAAATACTAGTGTGTTTCATAATTAGCTAGGCATTTTTCTGAGGGCATTTGCTATTTCATTGGTTGCGCGGAGTAGAGGAAACCAGGAAGGGACAGTCTTCCTTTCTAAGGAGTGAGAGGATGAAGTTTGGGTGGAATAAACCATATCGGATTTGAGGAGTACAATCCCAGAGAAGAGGTAACTGCATCTGTGTTCCCCTTGAGGCATTAGCCAACTTCTGACCTGAGCACTCAGGGGGTGATACTCCTTGAGGCATAGGTGAAATAGCAGTTGGGAGGCTGAATTGCAGAACAGCCAAGTGGTGCTAAGTAGACTGGAGTCTAAGCCCTGCCAAACAGGAGGGGCTTTGGTAAGCATACTAGAGTTTTAGGAGAAACCCCAGAAAAACTGCTCTAGGAGTGCAGGCCACACTTCAGGACTAAGGAAAACAAAAGAGACCAACCTAACAAAGCCTAAGATGAACAATGGAAAAGATAAAAGTGATCTGCCTGCCCAGAGAAAATCCTATTCTATTTAGAGGAAAATTACATGAATCATTTTCCATAAGCAACATCTGTATGATACTTGCTTTAAAAAAAAAAA